AGTAGTTGGGGGGGGGGGGTTAATATCCTCTAAGAGAGAGAGAGAGCGAGGAGCCCCACATATTATATATTTGTTGCGTTTTTATTAAGGTAAAACTATAGCTACGTTTAAACTTTAGTTTTGTACGTTTTATGTAAAAACTACTTAAACAGCAAACTTACTGGTCAGAGTTCGTTAAGTTGTACCAAACTGAGTGCAGAGACGCAGAGGACTATGCACAGTTCATATTGCCTATACATGTAATATTGTACATACATTATTCATGAAGAAAATCGGCCTTGTCTCATGCATTTTTTTTGTGTCACGAGGATGTTTTAACAGAAAAATATACATTCAAAAATTAAAAAAGAAAAAAAAAACAAAAAACAAAAAAACCAGCAAATTTCAGTTTCTAAATAAATTTCAACGGTTATATAAATTGGTTTGCGGCCGATTTTTGACGCTTGCGTCAATATGTTTCTTGTTATTCTCTGTTATCAAACAAAAAAGGCTGAGGAGGGAGCCAGCGTAGGAATATTGATATTTTTCATTTGCATTTCGGGGGGAAAGTGATTTTCTAATAATATTTTGACGTTATTTTTGATTTCTTTAACGTATGACATACACAACTTTACTCTTATCATGAACAATAATGTTGTATCTACTTATCATGATGGAACTATTTTGGTCGGACAAATTTGTGTGAGCTGCCTCTGAATACAGTAATATATCTTGCATACATAGTATGCATTGATCGAATATATTAAAAATCATACTGTCGGCCCCCAGGTCTTGCTCTCAACGCCGCTACAAAACATCCCTGAATCCCAAGATCACAAAGCAGGGAAACAGTAGACACCCAAGTTCACACAGCATGGATTACATAAAAGGCACACCCAAGATCACTATGCATTGGGTAAAGTATAATTCACGGCGTCCAGACCTCATCTGACAAACACTAGCCAACACCCAGCTGTATAAACACCGTATGTATACAACGGGTAACGTGGGTGAGTCGCTAAAAAGTATGGGGGAGTCGTTTTAAAAGTATGGGGGAGTAGATTTTCACCGCTTCGGAGTCGGAAGAGATGTGGGTCACGTCTTTTTTTAGTATTTGTAAGATGTATTTACAAAAAACAAATATCCGACGGAAGATGGCAATAGTTAAGGTTTATTTTGGTCATTTGTCCGGCTGTCATATACGTCTAGTTTTCTCAAACACTTTGAAACTATTTGACAGTTTTCATATTTACGTTGATCGGATGGTAAAAACATGCATGATTTGTACAATCTACGGCTTTTGTAGGGATTTTCACAGTTAAAATAGCGAGGGAAAACGTTTATCTTTTAAATGCAACAACTTACTCTTGACTAGACTTAAAAAAAAATAATAATTAAGACATTTTCTCCTTAGACAGTGACGGTTACGTAGAGGGAGTCGTTTATGGGGAAGCACATCGCAGGGGGAGTCGCAAATTCAAGTCAAATGCATAGTTGGTGTTGTTTTCAACTCTTTTATACTGCCAATACCTGTTTAGCTCATCTCAACGAAGGGAGCTTGTGTAATATCTCGGCGTCAATGTCGGTGTCGGCGTCCCAGGTATAGAGGTTAAGTATTTGGGAGCACTTTTCTTTGTACTTCTATGTCCTTTATTGTTTAGACATGAATAGAAGATGGTTCTTGTGTGTTTCATGTACCAGTCAATGTTTCAGATGTTGTAATTTCAGCCAAGGAATGACCAGGTTAATGTTTTTGGAGCAAGTTAACATTTTTGGTGCAGGTTTCATTTCAAAGTAACTATATAAGCCCTACGTTGACCAACTTGCATGGATGATACATCTAAGGATGCATACTACCGGGCTCCTACATTTTGTGAATGAGTGAAAATGTTTGTTATTGATGATGTTTCATTTCCAAATAACTATGAGCCCTATAATGAGCAAACTTGCATGGATGATAAATCTTAGGATGCACATAAATGGACCTGCTTCGGATGCTGAATTTGACTTACATTTTTGTCAGATAATAGATCAGGTAAAAGTTATGAGTGTAGGTCTAATACCAAAAAACTATAAGGCTAACATTGTATAAACCAAAATTATAGTAACTATTATTTGCTAATTTGTGTTAATAAAATATAAAATTTGGTTGTCAAACTGTTGCTACCTCCTTTCAACCACCCATTTTTTGCTTGTTAAAATTCAAAATTTTTTAGGTGAGTTGTATATGTAATTTTTGTTATACCTTTAAAAATTGTTATATAAATTTATACTAAAAAGAATAACCTTTCTACCGTTTTCTTCAGTCAAATAGTCAAATAAAGTGTTTGACCGTGAAGCGAGATGTTGGATCTTTCGATGAGATAATGTACCGTTTATGTCAAAGTGGGTCAGCTGTCAGAACTTTACGATATTGACAGTCTTTAAATGCAGTGAGGATTAACAAATATTTCATAAAAAAAAATACCATTATAAACAGTAAAATGTATAACAAAACATTGATCGAATGTGTTCCCCTGATGTAGCAAAATGTGTTTCGTCGACCCCTCGAACTAACAGTCTCCTGCAAACAGTTTGGTTCTTGGGTCCGACAAAATGCATGTTGCCCTCGAACCCTGTCTATGAATGTATAATATACTGGCTGCCTCAGACTGATTCTGGTACAACAATTCACCATGTGTTCACGCTCCGAAAGGGGGAGAGGTAAAGGGGGTTTCATATTCTGAGGAACTGTATAGTTGGGGAAAGGAAAGGGAGGATATCATGATAATGAAATGTATACAGAGAAGAAATATTTTCGTATTTCCTTTTTTCAAAGTTTCTGATTAATTATTTTTACATTGTCACTTCTCATTTTATATATCATAGATCTAGACATACATTAACCCTCGAATATACACCTCAGATCCAAGAATATGTTTTGTTGTCTTCTTTCATATATTATTGTTATTCTTCTAACACATTTACAATGTTTTCCGTGGGCCAATGGAAAATAAAAAAAAATAACGTAGAATAAACGTAACCAAGTTTTATAACATAGTTACTCTATAAGAGACAACTAATTTTAATTACATCTAGACATGGACACTAAGCATTAATTAGGAAGCTATTATTTAAAGGAAGAAAAACATTGTGAGCTCCTGTATTAAATTTGGTTGCTTATTTTATTATAGCATAGTTGTGAACATGGGCATATTTTTTCACTCGTTCTAGAAATCCAAAGAAAAAAAATATCTAGGATATTAACGACAATTGAAAACATGAGGTAATTTATGCATACCAGATGAGCTAGATTCGTTAGGCAACTAATCCCGCTTTTCCAACTGTCGTAAATGAACTGGTATAGAAAGAAATTCCTAAATTATCTTGCAATGGCTTCTTTGAATTGATGTAAATTTTATTTTCTGTTCACATACTGAAGATTCAGCTCGGCCAATTCCGTAATAGTTCTATCGAATGCCAACGGATGCAAATAAGTTACTAGCATATATGGTTGTATGTGGGTGCCAATAAATCTAACTAAAATTCATCCACATTTCTTTAGACCTTATAAAGCGCATTGAATTTATTTTTAACAGTACATTAAATCTGCTTGTTACGTCCACCTACATGTGCAACATCTTCTGTACAATCGATTTTTGTAATAATGATTTAGCTATGCATCAATGTTTATAGAATTCAAGGCAGAGGACTGATTTATGAAGATATACTGTATATCCTTAATCATAAAATCAAATAACAAACATTACTTACTACTTTTTATTAGATGCATTTATTCATGATTACGTTAACAATTTATTCCTGAGATGTTTGGAAAATATGATGAAGATTGTTACAAAATTTAAATCAATAGTGCACTCAGGTAACTGCATGTAACAATATGTCAAAATGAAAAGGATTCCGAAGATACACTGAATATTATTCAGCAAGGGTTTTTCTGATCCACCGCAGAAGACTTTTGACATTGGCATACACCCCTGGAAAATTTGGAAGCCCACAGCCGTCAGCGTGTCCCCACGAAGTTACACCCAATACAGCGTATTTCCCTAGGAGAAAAGATATACAAAGCATAAAATTACAATTTAAAAAGGGAATTTAAGTCATGGCTAATTTGGACACAAAACATCGCATCAATTGTCACTCTCTTATGTAGCTTACCGTTGATTTCACAGACCAGAGGACCACCGCTGTCTCCATCACAGGTATCAGACCCTCCTGTAATGTTATCGGCACAAAACATGCTGTCCGTTATGTTGTAGCCTCCCTGGTTGTAAAGTCTTTTGCAGGTCCCCTGGTTTACAATAGGAATTTGCGCATATTTCAGGAGATTTGGGTATGTTCCTGAAATATCATTGAAACTTTGCTTCTACAAATGCATTATATATATTACTGCAGTATGTATATTTTTTAATCATGCACTTTAAAACAAGAGTCACAGGGGACTAGACACAGTCTTCTGATAAATTACTGAACAGGAAAACACGTGTATAAAATGTGAAGGTTCAAGACATACATATAAGAAGTATTTCCGATGGAACGCCATAGCTGCCTTAAGGTATGGTACATAATGTTACATGGTGTGTTCTATATAAAAAAGGGTTGAATCAATATAATAAATGGTCACCACTTCTTGTTAAAGGGTAAGCGCACAAAATGCATGGTGTGTTTAATATAATAAAGGGTCGGTTCTTTATGTTAAATGGTCACCATTCCTTGTTAAATGGCGAAGCGCACATAATACAAGGTGTGTTTAATATAATAAATGGTCACCGCTACTAGTTATAGGGTGAAATATACAAATTAAATGGTGCATTCGATATAATAACGGGTCGATTTAGTTTGTTAAATGGTCGCTGCTACTTGTTATAGGGTGAAGTATACAAATTAAATGGTGCATTCGATATAACAACCGGTCGATTTGATATGTTAAATGGTCGCCGTTACTAGTTATAGGGTGAAATATACAAATGAAATGGTGCATTCGATATAATAACGGGTCGATTTAGTTTGTTAAATGGTCGCTGCTACTTGTTATAGGGTGAAGTATACAAATTGAATGGTGCATTCGATATAACAACGGGTCGATTTGATATGTTAAATGGTCGCCGTTACTAGTTATAGGGTGAAATAAACAAATGAAATGGTGCATTCGATATAATAACGGGTCGATTTAATATTTTAAATGGTCGCCGCTACTAATTATAGGGTGAAGTATACAAATTAAATGGTGCATTTGATATAATAACGGGCAAGTTTAATATGTTAAATGGTCGCCGCTACTTGTTATAGGGTGAAGTATATACATGCACAAATTAAATGGTGCAATCAATATAATAAAGGGTCGGTTTGTCATGTTAAATGGTCACTGCTACCTTTTGTAGGGTGAAATATATAAAAAAAAAAAAAGGGTAAAGTTGTGTCAATATGTGTAGCTAATTTTACACAGTTTCAAAAGAAAAAAAAAACACACAATAAAAATAGAAAAAATAAAGAAGCAAACAACGTCCAGCCCCATCACATCTCAGAATTAGTCAATTCAATGTGAAACAATAAAATATCAAGATATCTATGTATGTCTGTGGTACGAGGGGGAAAGCGAACCGATTGGATTTTTTTTCATTCCAATGCACCCCCCCCCCAACACACATTTTTGTTGCAGCTTGGTTGAAGTAAAGATTGTCCCACTTTAAAGTATTTAATAAAGAATATTTCAAAAAGTTAGAGAAAGATCCTACCCCCAGTAGTTTTTTTCAAATTTAAACCTGTAAATTATTGACGGCTTTCAATTTTTACCCCCCCCCCTTTTCGTTAAACGTACGGCGAAAAGAGAAGTAACACTCATGAGAGGTGCCCCCCCCGGAAATAGTTTTTTCACTTTTTAAAAACGGGTTTGCGTTTTTTTTCCTTTTTTTGCTTTTGTTTTTTTTTTAATGCTTGTCAAGAGATGTCAGGAATGAATGTTTCTTTTACTGGGTTTGACCCCTCCCCTCGAAAAAAAAAATCCTGGACCGCATCTGCGCCTGCACTTAGCTCTTCTTCCCCTATCATTAGCCGTTTTTAATTTTTTTTTTTTTGCAATCGTACTTGATAGAGATACATATTTAAAAATACGAGACATTTTTGTTCCATCAGCCAGTTCTACAACGGATTAGTTCGTCCCTTTTTATTTTCAAAATTTCACCCGGATTACTCATTCTTAATATCTTTCATCCTTTTTTATTAAGGAGAACTGTGTCTTTGAAACCCCTCTCTCTAACACCAGTTAATTAATTTATCATAGCGTTCTTTGAATGTGCGTTCTTTGAAACCATGTAAATTAGCTGAACAATGCGTGAAATTTGTACTTGACGCATTTTTAATGTGTTATTTGACTTATTTCAAATATTTATTATGTGTCTTTTATCCTATTACAAGTAGCAGTAACCATTTAACATGATAAACCAACCATTTACTTTGTAGAACACATCATTTATCTACCATTGACTCTAAAACAAGTAACGGCGACCATTTAACATATTAAATCGACCCGTTATTATATCGAATGCACCATTTCATTTGTATATTTCACCCTATAACTAGTAACAGCGACCATTTAACATTTTAAATCGACCCGTTGTTATATCGAATGCACCATTTAATTTGTATACTTCACCCTATAACAAGTAGCAGCGACCATTTAACAAACTAAATCGACCCGTTATTATATCGAATGCACCATTTAATTTGTATATTTCACCCTATAACTAGTAGAGGTGACCATTTATTATATTAAACACACCTTGTATTATGTGCGCTTCGCCCTTTAACAAGGAATGGTGACAGTTTAACATAAAGAACCGACCCTTTATTATATCAAACACACCATGTATTTTGTGCGCTTCACCCTTTAACAAGAAGTGGTGACCATTTATTATATTGATTTAACCCTTTATTATATAGAACACACCATGTAACATTATGTACCATACCTTAAGGCAGCTATGGCGTTCCATAATTTCCAGTGTTTAGCGTATACTGGACCTTACGAGTAGCACAGACTTCTACAGTTGACGCTATACTTGGAAATTTAAACTTGTATCATGTAAGGAGGAATAGAATTGATAATACATAAGATAACCTTTCTAGTGGTCATAGGTATGGTGATAGGGGCACTTTAATGAGGCCGAGTCTAATTCGAGTGCACATCACTTTGTGCAGCTTTTTAATTTCAAGCTGTCATTTGTGTGACAGTACACCTTTAAAAATAATTTTAATTTTAATACAAAATAGACATTATTTG